GAGATTTTTGGGGATTTTTTTTGAATTTTTTTAGGGATTTTTTTGGATTTTTTAGAGATTTTTTTAGGGATTTTTTTTGGGATTTTTTAGAGATTTTTTGGGGGATTTTTTGGGATTTTTTTGAGATTTTTTTTGAGATTTTTTAGGATTTTTTTGAGATTTTTTAGGGATTTTTTGGGGATTTTTTAGAGATTTTTTTGGGGATTTTTTGGAGATTTTTTTGGATTTTTTTTGAGATTTTTTGGGGATTTTTTGGGGATTTTTTGAGATTTTTTGGGGGATTTTTTGAAGATTTTTTAGGAATTTTTTGAGATTTTTTGGGCATTTTTTGGAGAATTTTGGGGGAATTTTTGGGAAGATTTTGGGGGGAATTTGGAGGAAGAGGAGGAGGAGGAGGAGGAAGGAGGGGAGTGGGAAAAAGTCAAGTGTGGGGTGCCCCTGGTCAAGGTGAGAAAAAAAAAAATTGGGAATTTTGGGGGGTTTGGGGAAAAAAAAATGGAATTTTTGAGATTTTTTGGGGCCAAAAATCGAATTTTTTGAGGATTTTTTGGGGTTTTTTTGGCCAAAAAATTGAATTTTTTGAGGATTTTTTAGGATTTTTTTTTAGATTTTTTTGGCATTTTTTGGAGATTTTTTAGGGAATTTTTTGAGATTTTTTGAGATTTTTTGAGGAATTTTGGGATTTTTTGCAGATTTTTGGGGAATTTTTGGGAAATTTTTAGGGATTTTTTTGGGATTTTTTGGAGATTTTTTGTGGATTTGGGGGGATTTTTTTGAGATTTTTTTGATATTTTTTTGGGATTTTTTGAGATTTTTTTAGGGATTTTTTTGGGATATTTTAGGGATTTTTTAGGGATTTTTTTGAGATTTTTTTTGAGGATTTTTGGGGGATTTTGGGGATTTTTTGCAGATTTTTGGGTGATTTTTTGGGGAATTTTTGGGAATTTTTTAGGGATTTTTTTTAGATTTTTGGGGGATTTTTGGGGATTTTTTGAGGAATTTTTTGGAGATTTTTAGGGGATTTTTTTGAGATTTTTTTGAGATTTTTTAGGGATTTTTTTTGGCATTTTTTAGAGATTTTTTGGGGGATTTTTTGGGGGGAATTTGGAGGAAGAGGAGGAAGGAGGGGAGTGGGAAAAAGTCAAGTGTGGGGTGCCCCTGGTCAAGGTGAGAAAAAAAAAAAATTGGGAATTTTGGGGGGTTTGGGGAAAAAAAAATGGAATTTTTGAGATTTTTTTGGGGCCAAAAATCGAATTTTTTGAGGATTTTTTGGGGTTTTTTTGACCAAAAAATTGATTTTTTTGAGGATTTTTTTGGCATTTTTTTGAGATTTTTTGGGGAATTTTTTGGAATTTTTTAGGGATTTTTTTGAGATTTTTTGGGGATTTTTTGAGATTTTTTAGGGATTTTTTTGGGATTTTTTAGGGATTTTTTTTAGATTTTTTTGGGATTTTTTGAGGAAATTTTTTGGGATATTTTAGGTATTTTTTAGGGATTTTTTTGGAGATTTTTTGGGGATTTTTTTGGATTTTTTAGAGATTTTTTTGGGGGATTTTTTGGGATTTTTTTGAGATTTTTTGAGTTTTTTTGAGACTTTTTGGGGGGGATTTTTTCGAATTTTTTTGAGATTTTGGGGGGATTTTTTAGGGATATTTAGGGATTTTTTTGAGACTTTTTAGGGATTTTTTGGAGATTTTTTTGGGGATTTTTTGAGATTTTTTGGAGATTTTTTTGAGGGTTTTGGGGGATTTTTTGGACATTTTTTCAGAATTTTTTAGAGATTTTTGGGGATTTTTTTAGGGATTTTTTTGAGACTTTTTTGGGATTTTTTTGAGATTTTTGGGGAATTTTTAGGGATTTTTTGGAGATTTTTAGGGATTTTTTTCTGGTATTTTTTGAGATTTTTTCAGGATTTTTTTGAGATTTTTTGGGGATATTTTGGAATTTTGGGGGGATTTTTTTGGCCAAGAAATTTAATTTTGGGGGGAATTTTTGGGGATTTTTTCGGAATTTTTGGGATTTTTTTAAGGCCAAATAAAATCGAATATTTGGGGGATTTTTTGAGGGATTTTTCAGGGCCTTTTTGGCCAAAAATTTGAATTTTGGGGGGATTTTTTGGGAGTTTTTTTGGTCCAAAAATTCCATTTTTTTGAGATTTTTT